CCATCCAACCTGACAGACCTGGAGAGGATCTGCAAGGAGGAATGGCAGAGGATCCCCAAATCCAGGTGTGAAAAACTTGTTGCATCTTTCCCAAAAAGACTCATGGCTGTATTAGATCAAAAGGGTGCTTCTACTAAATACTGAGCAAAGGGTCTGAATACTTAGGACCATGTGATATTTCAGTTTTTCTTTTTTAATAAATCTGCAAAAATGTCAACAATTCTGTGCTTTTCTGTCAATATGGGGTGCTGTGTGTTCATTAATGAGGAAAAAAAATTTACTTAAATGATTTTAGCAAATGGCTGCAATATAACAAAGAGTGAAAAATTGAAGGGGGTCTGAATACTTTCCGTACCCACTGTATGTCGCACGTGCTATGAAAAAACTGGTCTGTGCGATGAATAAATTTGATCGTGTGCGATACAGTTTTGCATGTTCATAACAGAGCCACTTAATAGTGTGAACAAAGTGATTTCGTTGTGCTTGTTTGTGTGTGTGAGATTGATTATACTTGGTAGTTAGGGGTGTGCGATATGGCGATTTTTGATCGTGGATGATTAAAATGTCTCCACGATCTGCTTTTAAAGAAATATCGTTGTATCGTGCTATAGCGCACATTCTATCAGCTGCAGTTCTGATGCCTTCCTTCGTCTCAATATACTGTACAAAGCCACATGCATTCACATCAGTGTTAGCTCAGCGGTAGAGTTACTCTCACGGGACACTGCACTTATGCACAATCACAAAACGACATTATTTCCATCTGCTTTAAAGCCATACCGGTTAAACGTTTAAAGGGGTCATATGACATTGCTAAAAAGAACATTATTTTGTGTATTTGGTGCAATGAAATGTGTTTATGCGGTACTTACAGGCTGTGAGTCAGAAGCGCCAGACTGTCCTCTTTTGGAAGGCCAAACAAAGTAGTTTTGCTTTCACAATGAAACACACAGTGTCACACATGGCAGGCTAGAGTGAGGAACGGCGGGCGGGTTAGAGAACGGCGCGGCTGGCGGATTCGATGAAGGAGCAGCCGGCGGGCTTGCGGCAACCACATGTG